TCTTGAGAATGTCACATCTCAAACAGTGAAAAGCTCAATTTCAAGAATATCCAGGAAGAAAATTGGTATCAAGTGGCAAGTTTAATATCATTTCTTATGCAAATCATTGCAGAATTGTTTTCTAAAGAAACATATAATATCTCCTTGATTGTGCTTAGAACAGTAGAAAACCTAAACACAGGGCCTCTGCTGGGCCCACATAATTCTCATAGTTGACTCGAAAGGAAAGAAAAGCCATATAAGCCGACCCTTAACGCGTCTCCAATAGCAGAAGAAGTATTCAAGATAAAGTAAGGTTATATTCAATTGCCTAAATTTGTCAATCCATCAGAATCGTTAAGTTCTTTCCTATGTGAATATGATCTTTCAATGAGCAGGTCAAACTCTATATTTTAACAAACAGATCGAGTGAGCAGGGCAAATCTCGAGAAACTTTGCATATTCTTTGCAGATTGGAATTCTACAAGGATTAAAGCAAATGGGTTGTGATTCAAACAGGATCTTATACCAAAATCAGTAGAACCCACTCATTTTTGTTCAGAATTAGCTTTCGTTTCAGGAACTATACACCCAAATTTGCAGGAATTTGAAAGAAAGTGGGGAATTCAAAATTGAAATTTCACTAACCTTAGCTTTAGGAATAACTTTAACAGCGACCTGTTGACCCTTATGCTCTCCCTTCTTGAACTTGGCAGAACAAGTATATCCAAAATGCCCTCTACCCACCTCTTCGCCAATCTCCAATCGACTCGTGAGCTCTTTCGAGAACCCAAATCTCTTATCCAACTCGATCTCACCTTCCTCGTCGCCTTCCTCAGGAATCGCCGCCGTGGAACCCGCCTTCTTCCCAAGCCGTCGCGCTAGCACAGCCCTAATATGCTTCGCTGGAGAAGGAGGAGCAAACGACCGCCGGAAGAATCTCCCAGGAGTAGAGCTAGCACTCTCAGTTCCACCGCCCGGCAACGGTGAGTTTTGACTCTTCTTCTTCGAAAAAAAGTGCGCAGGACTAGGGCTGTAAAATGGAAAGAATGGCGACTGTTTCCCGGCGACGAGATCATCTTTTCGGTAAGGAGTGGAAGCCGATTTGGGAGTTTGAGACGGATCAACCCGCCGCTCATCTGGGTCTCTCGAAGCGTACGGACTGGACTTCGACGGTGGCTTGGAAGTACATATACCCATCACAAAAATGAAAATCAGTGAAACCGCCGGTCAGCGAAGAACCCTCTCAAATTTTTACTGTTTTGTGAAGCAGAAGGACAGATCAACGGCATAGTATCAAGAAATTTAAAGGGTTTTGGAAGAGGAGAGAGAAAACGATGGGTTATTAAGGAGAAGAAGAAAGGGATTTTTGTTGCAGAGATTTTGAGAGAAGAAGGTAAAGAAAAAGAGAGGAGGATGAACTGAAAGAGCTGAAGGAGTGAACCATCTAGCTGTACATCTTCATACCAAACTGGCCACGTGTCAAGCAAAATGATATATATATATATATATATATATATATATAGTAGACTATGATTTAAATTAAAATATGAAATATAAATATTTATTTATTTACATAAATAATAGAAACTTTAACAACATATTTATTGTTTTTTTTTCCAATTTAAACCTAATTAAAAATAAAATAAAATTTTCCTCATAACCCCATCTTCAACACATGGATTCCCAAAAAAGGGGAATGTGGCGGGGTTGTGGACGGGGAATGCATCTCGACCCACCCCACTATCATCCTTAGTAATAATGTTTTTACGCTCGAGTTTAGACATTTACCTTGACTTTACATCAACTACCGTTAGTTGGACTAGTAGGGTCGATGAGATTATAAGTCAGTTTGCATAACGTTTAAATTGATAAATAAAATTAACACATTTTATTAGGGTATGGTTAGGAAGGCAAAATAATAGAGGGGTAGATTACATTAGATTTGGATTAGAGAAGGGTAAGCATGGTCCCAATCACAAAAGACAGGACAATTTTGTACTTTCCACCATAGATATAAATTTGTACATATTACATTATAGAATTGTTTATTTTATTATTAATAATTGTGGTTCAAATATCTTGGTTTAAGCTTTGAGTGGGGCCCATTAATATACCATTTTTAAATTATGATTTTATTTTATTAATATCATATTTTATATATATATATACTTGTGTATTGGAAATCGCGTCTTGAAATTCTTTGGGATTTGGTTTTTTGTTGAGGCGTACAATATTTGGATCAAAGATGTTTTGTCTATACTCACATGCATTATCGATTTTAAGAAAGTCATCATCTAATATAAAATTGTTTCAAATAAAACACGCTTAATTCGTTCTTATGATTTAGTAAGGTGAATCTTGTTAATATACTGAATGAATGAATCTTTAGATGATCAATTTCATTAAGATATATTATTTCGTGTTTTTTTTTTTTTTTTTTTTTT